ACCATTCAAGGCTTGAAACCACTTCAATCTTGGTGAGTTCGATTCTCAATGCTGCGGACGTGTAAAGAAGCTCGACAGTGTTTGCAATTATAAATTGATCAACAGAGAACATAATTAAAAAAAAAAAGATATCTTTTTTTCTGAGCACACAGAGTGCTATTAAAGAAAATGAAAACAGTATTCAATTATAGTACAAAAGCTACAAAATGCGTAGTTCAATTGAATATGTAGCGAGAACGGCATCATTTTTTATAATCTTTATCTTTCCGTTATTCCTATGCAAAACTTGAATATACACTCCTATGTTATTTTAAATAAAGGACTTTTTTTATTATTTTAAATGCGGCAAAGAGTGTTAAAAAAATACAACTCGACACATGTATCTTCTAATTCAGTTCGACCCTGAACTACTTTTATAATCGCTGATTTATAAAAGTGACAAGGGGGCTACTGTTTCTAGGGACTCATTGATAAATCAGTTTCAATTCTCGTGCGATGCCCTTCTATTTTTTTTTTTTTGTAAAATTCTTGTAGCTTACTAATATTCTGGAAAATTTTCTGTCAAGCGATAGCGTGGCGAGACGACCGATAACGAATATGAAGTAATCGACCGCGTGATAACAATAATGAACGAAAGATGCGCTGTGATCTAAATATAATTACAAGCTGAAATGCTGGATTGAAGAATGATTCCAATTACGGCAAAGTTTCGTCACTGGCTTCTTTTCGTGCCATTCGCGAGCGTCGGATTTATTGCGATAACTGGTTTTGGATCGACATAATTTATATCTGCATTCCAATCGTTCGAGGATTCTTCTTTCAAGATTACCCGGATAAAAGCGGAATGCTCATTTCGTTTCGCTACGTCCACTTCGGCGAGTAAAAAGACATAATAAGCAAGTTTATCGGGGGATTACCGTCTCGTGCAGCATCGCATGGATCATCGAGCGAAAATCGAATGAGTGCTCTCACGTGCGCGATTGTCAAAATGCAAAATAGCACCGCGGACTCTTCGACCGCGACGACGAGCGAGCGCATCATCGTCCAGTGCAGCTGACCACCGTGTAAGTATATAATAGCTAACATATCAGAGAAAGAGAAAGAGACCACCCGCGCGCAAACTGTTGCACCTCGCATGCGATCTCCATCCGGCGACGAAAATAAAATAATCGTACGGCGCGCGCGAGCGAACGATAGCCTGATGGATAAGATACACCGGGAGAGGCGAGGTATCAGAGCGGTATGTTAAGTTATTGCCCGTCATGGTCGAACTTAAACACGTGGAGTAATTTATCAATCTGCGAATATGTTACGGAAGCGCTTAGGCGCTCGTGTCGCCCGGAGAGCGGGTTCATCGATGGAAAAGCGTTCCGATGTAAAGCGCGAAAACGGGCTCTGGAAAAATTCGCATTCTAGTAATAAATTCATTTGGAAGCTAATAACGAAGTAGAAATTTTACGTAAAATTTTGAATGCATTTATACATGTACAATGTGTGCAGTATCCAAAGATACGGAGAGGTGTCACAATATTGGGCGGTATAAAATACAAGAATACTTGCGGCCACTCGTGAAATATCTAATCTTTATTCAAAGAGGGGTTGAATTAATTAAGCGATCGTGTAAAATTGAAGATTCATGCGGTTTGCGCGATGTGTAAAATTTGATGCACTCATAAATATGTTTTATCTGTACCACCCGCGGCAATTATATATATGAATATGACCGACGTATACACGAGTTCCTGCATTTTGATACGGTTTCTTTCATAAGCGCGGAAAAATGAAAATTTAGTTTCTAGCACGGTGTGTAGAATGACGGTGAGGAGCGTGACCGAGACGAGCGTGTAAAAATATCACACGACGAAGATGGCAGTGCCAAATCGCTCGCGTGTGGTCCATCGCATTGAGAGCTCCTCTTGAATTGCACGCGATAAGACTTTGTGTAAACTAATCGCGAGTTTCATTAAAAAGACCGACATACTCGCAATTGATATCTATTGTTATTGGTCTAGTTACTACCTATCGTGTTATGATATGCTCTCGAAAAAGCTCATAATTAGGGAACAAAAGCGCGAGATGAGCTCGATTAATTGGTATTTATTAAATATTTCAACTTCATTTTTTATTGAAATTTTGATTAAACTTTTGAATGAAATCGCAATCGAACGATATATTTTTTTTTGTATTATCTATAGCTAGATTTTTTCACACAGATTTGGATTTGCACTTGTCTTATATCTGTAGAAAACTGATAGAGATTTTACGATGATGCGTTTATTTAACGGAACAATCATGTTTTCCGTTTAGTTGCTCGATTGTGTGTATATTTGTGTACCCGCCTTTATTATATGGTATAAGGGTCCGTAATTGAAGAAGCAAGTATAAGGTAGCACTTGCGTAATACTCTCTCAGTGATGCTTTTATTGTTGTCGCTAAGGTGTTTAAAATACGTAGCTAGTACATGTAAGAACAATAAAAGAATACACGTATTACACAATGAAAGGATTCAATATCGCTATAATATTCGACGAATTTACACTCAACAGATAGATTAATTTCTTACAAATTTCATGAAATTATTATTAGCGCATTATTTCGTTGTACATGAGAAAATTCGAAATAAAATAAATACAACTAATCCGGGTAAATTACAAAATAATTAATGACATTTGATTCGAGTTGCGAGACCAAACATGTGATCAATTAATTGATAATGATGCTGCGTTAAAAGCAAGTGATTATTGTCATGACAAATCTCAAATGAAAAACGTACGCGATCCATCGATGCTCAGGAACAGCCTTATGAGTTCAGTAAATTAGTATGTCAATTATATCATAAGCCAATCAACACAAAACGCACTAGCGTCAATATATGTACCCGGCATTTAACCCATCGCCATCGTTTATTTGGATTGCATAATGGCAGATTTTTTAAAAACATATTATGTCATATTATTTCTCACCTTTAATTATGTCTTTTCACCTTTCTTTTGCGATTTTGTTAGAATTTGCACATGTTTACGCATATCATTACAATATATATGCAATAGTTATTAGCAAACTAGTTATTTTTTAATTTTTTATTTAATTATTTATAATACGATCTATGTTTATAATTGTAAATAACATTGTAACATTAATATGTACACTATTTTTTCATATCTATAACGCACGTTGATAACGAATGAGAAGCGAGTGACATACTGACCTAACGAGACAGATCAGGTGTCGGGGTAAAATCTCATATATCTATACAGACAGGAAAATCTACGCGCGCAACTAAATTACACGTGGGTATACGTTATTTTATTGAAATTGCTGGGGAAAATCGTCGCGTATTTGAATGCGTTCTAGTTACACGGTTCATTCAGGTCCGGTTTCAATGTCGACCTTTGCCGAGTCAAGAGCGGACCTTACGTAATCGGCGTTTTAAAAGGAACCACGAAAGGTATGCGTGTGCGAGCAGATTATATATCACTTTAAGTCGAATATAAGTCTAAACCTATGCTTACGAAAGAACTAGAGATCGCGTTAAAGAATAATGTCCTCTGCGAAACAACCTGACAAAATTTGGCAAAGTATATGGTAGCGAATAGAATATCTCTCTCAAATTGCCTCAAGACTATTATCATTCCCCTTTCTTTTTCTTAGGCTCTTTAATTAATTTAAATTTGTAATACTCTTCAAAAGAAAAGGAAACATTTTGAAAAAATCACAGAGAAAAAAGAAGAATATATCGAAAAAAAGGTCTTAAAATTATAAATGATTAAAAATGAAAAGCCTTTGGCAAACTGATTGTAAGATAGAAATATATGATTAAAGCCGATTGGATCAATCATAAATTGACTCCAATAAAGCATGAAGTTAAGGCTTGTGCATCATACTGGGAACAAACCGTTAAATTAAAAATGATACAAATTAAAGTTTTATTTTAAATAATTTAATTTGTAAAGAGAAAGGAATTTTTTCTCTCTCTCGATTATTTATTTAATTTTACTTTTACTTTTCCACTTAAATATATGTCTATAAAATTACCACGTCTTGCGCTACTATGATATATGTATGGTTGATAATGAAAAAATTATCTAAACAATTTCAATGATGGCGTATTATTTAAATTGTGCGACAAATATACAATAGAATAACCGATAACGATGAACGATCGGACGCAATGCGCCATAAAAATGTTGTTAATAATATTTCTCTGCTGTCCTTGCGACCGCAACGCATTATCAGCCTCGCCATTGTCGGATATAAGATATCACGCTCAAATCGTGCCTATAATAAGTACACGGAAGCATGATTGTCCATTACATTGCTCGATAAGGCATCGGCATACGCTGTCAATTCAATTGCGAATTTCAGTGTGAGACAAGATCGTGAGGAGAAATAATGGTCCCATTGAATGAACGAATTTCTTTATATAAGATGAAGTTATGGGGACCATGCATGTGATTTAACTAAACAGATATAGAATCAAGAGTAGCCAGAGAGCCGTATCTGATCACGAGAAGGAAACTTGATCGAACTCGTAAGGCGATATCTCGAAGAGTAATTGTATCATTAACAGTAGCACCGATCGTGTCAATTGCTGGATCTTGACGATGTACATCCTCACCTTGTTGATCAAAGCGATCACGAATCGGCACTTCAAGTGAGTAGTATTCTGCAAGCTTATCACTACTCGATACCGTATACCATTAGCTGGAATTGGCGTAATTAGACGAGCAAACACATCAATCCGTCACGTCCTCCGCGGATTGATCGACTGTTATTTATCAAGGTGCGAATTGCAAACATTGCGTATCGTTAATGGTGTCGTTAAAGATGTAGCCAAGCTTTTAGCATTCACCGATTTTATCGTAGTTTTTATGTTATTATCTTAAACGGTGTAATCAGCCTTTATGTCGATCTCAGACACGCGAAGTTTAAATTCAAATTAAAAACATAGATTTTTTTATAATTTTACTTTTTATTGCTTTATTTTTATACGGTTTTAATGTTGTTTTTTTTTTTTTATATTTTCTCAAAGATTCTACTTGCATTCTGATAATTAGCCATTGATTAATCAATATCGCTTGCGATAATTCTTTTTATTCATTCGTGATACCGGCGAGTATCTTTGATGTTAAGAGCTTGTACGAACAGGAAATACACAAACGTTTCAGCGGAGTAATAATTAGAAAAACGAGACTATATAAGTGTGACCTAATCCTCAAGTTACCAGAATACAAATTGCTGTGTCACGAACTGTCGGAGTGCTGCTCCTACACAGGATACGGTCATAGACGGGCCAGTGAATCCTATTCGCGCGTCATTGACCGACTGACTGTTATAAGCGAATTTTTCCGCTCCACTTTAAATAAGGATTACGCTGAATAACAGATGCAGCGCTTAAATCGATAGAGATTGTAATTTCAACCTTTTCGTGAAACGCAAGAAGAAAAATGTATCATATTTTTTTTTCTGAGAAAAAATTAATTGGTTTAATTTATAAATGTGTATACGTATATCTTTTTTCAGTATAGTTTCATTCAAATCTATTGCATCATCTCGTTAATTGAATCGGTGATTTCCTTTGAATTCAAGTTGTTTACATAAATTATCAAGCACAATCAATTGTATTTAATTATGTATTACGCAATTATGTATATGCTTTTTTTCCCATCGTGTTCACGGTCAACACATTTTATCGACGTAGTGCTAACACGATACTGCGCATGTAAAATCGAAATTAGAGGAAAATAAAAGATATGACGAAACAAGGATATCATAAAACGCAATAGAGATATAGAGCACACTAATTTGAGTCATGAAAATGGTTCTCGAAAGTAGAATCTGATCTAAAATGATGTAATCGCAAGTTTCTGGAGAAACTCAATCTAACTTTATAGAAAGCATAAAAAAATTATATATTTAAGCGAAAGATTAAAACACTATATGATTAATGCATCTATATGTATATACGATGCCTTTCATTTCTTTTAAAATACCGCTATCTTGCAAATTAGAGATAAAATGAAAAGAAAATATAAATCGTGTATTGCGTGTAAAAGTATACTTAACGAGCTATCTTTGCTCTGAGAAGTAATATCGGATAAATTTAGAAAATCAATATCAATCTCCTTGCATTGACAGAAGTTATCGTGTATGAACGCATTGAATACGAACGTTGCTTGTAGCTTAAAGATAGCCTTCGACAACTTATGCATTTGTATCATGACAACTGGACCTTGATACGCGACATTTATAATCTATGTAACTGATGTGTATTAAGTTTAAAAAATCACTCATAATTATGTTGGCTTGTGAAACTAAATGAAAAATGCATAAAATGAATGAAATAACAGATATAATTTAAAAAATTACCAATTATAATTATTTTAAAAAATTTATTGGTTCTATTGATCGGTTATAATTGAAAAATTCACTATAACAAATGTGAAAAAAGAAGTTTGTTCAATATTGCTTCGCAATCTACATGATATTAATCGATAGCTTAATCAGTATATAATTATGTCTAACATGACACTTTAATGTTTAATGGACTCGAAGCGCAAGAAAAATTCACGGAATATTGTTGCTGAGATTAATTAATGCTATCATCGGATTACAGCACATAAAAGCAAATCGCGGAAATTACGCGAAATGAAGGCGATTGTGCAACTCGCATGTAATGCGTCGTAAACTCATGAATGAACCAGAATTTTCCACGTGTATCAGCTGATGATTGATGACGTAACCGATGCCTATATGACTGCCACATATGTGACGTCACTCGCAAGGGAAGATATCGAACAATGCTCGTCACATTGTGTATCACACATATTTAAAAAATTTTTAGAAATAACTTTTAAAAAAATGTCAAGCCTGTATATCCTAAATATGTATATACAAAGAAGATGATAAGAGATAAAGTATTAACCAGCTTAAATCGATTTCCAACGATATAGAAGACAAAGTCATTAAAATGATTTTGAATGAATGTTTTTTAAAAACGAATCTTTCAGATTACTAAGAAAAATAAGAACAAACCATAGCAAAAGAATCGTAATAACAGAGTGCAAATTGAATGCATCAAAACGATAAGGTAATTACTCGCGACAGAGCATTACCAAGCGACGTCACTAGGATTTTCAATGCAAAGGCGGCCCTTTCTGATTCATAGAAAATAATGAAAAATACTGATAAACCCACATAAAAAGCGTAAGAAAATCATCGATAACACAACGCGATTTGAATGTACCGGAACTATGACGCTACCATCGACGATGGGTCGTCCCGAATGACGTCACGTTAAGACTTCGAGCACGAAGACGATCCTTCCAGATGTCTGGGAATGACGATAGGGGTTCGCTATTGGCATACAGACACCAGAATAGCATCGAAGGTTTGCGGACTGACTGGAAAGTGGCTCGGATCGATAAACGTGCGTCTGCTCCGTCCGGCTCCCACCGACAGACACACACACGCTCACACACAAAGACACATGTGTCCCCAAACTAGTTTTAAGGAGGCATGCATACACGCGGGCACGATGCACGATCCCGATCAGTCGCGATGTAACCGCAGCGTGAGACGGCCTCGCACCAGGCCATCGGGTGACCGCCATCAGATGCTCGACGTAGGCTGATCTCGCGCTGAAGAACCGATCACCGAAGCCGGCGATCAGCGACCTGTGACACAGAAGGGGGTCCAACGGTGGGTCTCGTCCTTGGGAATCATCGGGGGTCCGTCTGCGACCACGCCTGAAAAACCAGGTATGGGCGGAAGGGACGGAAAGCCATTCGAAGTCGAAACTTACTGGTCTAACGAGAGATATTTTAGCGAAAAAATATGTATTCTAGAGACGAGATATGTCATCTGCTTTTTGTTCAGCGATTTTTGCGGACTAATATTCAACAGATTTTGATCGATTTTCTAAAATCGTTAAAAATTTTATGTCATGAATAGAAGGTAATAGTTGTGTGTAAAGCAAATTTTTCGGAGTTTAAGAGAATCAAAGTGATAGAGCAAGAATGATTAAAAAGTTCAAGTTGTGTCCTGCAATCCTTAATCCATTTTTTAAAGAAAATTTTTTTGATAGAAGAATCCTAAAATTAAATTTTAATTGGTTTTCTTAAGATGTTAAAAAATGAATTAGGTTGCTATTGATTTTTTTTTTTTAGACTCTAGCTTCTTGCGAACACTGCGATTTTCTTCTTTTAGGGCGTTACCTCGATATTGGATTCAATTGCACGAGGTGAGAGATGTGTATTCGGGATAGGTAGCCGGTATCGTAGATACAGATAGTCGTCGATAAGCCTTCATTAATGCATTTCTGAACATTTTTTCCCAAGTCAAAATCGCCCAACCGATTAAAGGCGTTCCAAACAAAACGCGTGCAAAAATCCAGTTCGCGAAAATGTTTTATTCGCACATAATCGACTGCTATATCTGTTCACTGTTGATTCGGAAAACGGTGACAAACGTGAGATGTAGATAAGCGACAGAGAATTCCGTCGAGGTTCTCCGACGGTTTGATTGTGCGTAGGTTAAGGTTACAAGAACTCGTATAATTCACGCAACAAAACGTGCTTTTCAAACCCCGCTATCCGGTCGATGCGTGACGTAAAGAGCAGCTGATCAGACAATGAATATTAAATGCGCCTCGATCATCGGGCGGTTTGTGATTCTTATTCATCTTTATGAGAAACTGCAGCCTAATTGTATCGATATTGATCATTCTAGATTTTTTTTTCTGCATCTTAATATGGGAATAAAGGAAAATTAAATGTCGCAAAAATATATCGATAAATAGAATTAGTAAGGGAATTAATTTTAAAAGAATTGCAGATTTCTAAATTTTATACATTATATAACAATGAGTAGAGAGATAGAAAGCAATCGAAAGAGACAGAAAAATTCAACAATTTTAAAATCAATCCCTGATCCAGACAATTAAATATTCAATTTCAAAATAAATAAAATCTATGTCTGTTTATTACTGTTTACACATTTATAAATATTATAACTCAACTAATAAAATTTTTTCTTTTTCTTTTTAATTTACAACCCAATATTAATTGTCTCGAGATATTGATTTTACAGTTACACTTGTAAAAGCAAAATTGCTTTTTTAATCGAACAGCCGCACAGTCTGGCCTTGATCGAGCAGTTTATAATCTCAATTTCCGCGCGTAAGGTTGCCACGCGATTGAACATCGTTATCGCTATCGTCGCGACGTTTTCATTAGCGACGATATCGAATCCATTCCGGATTTCGGATATTGATTGCCAAATCTGACGCCCGCGTAAAAATTAATCTGCAGTTGAATCGCCATTGTTGGTAGACAAAAATAAGAAGAAAAAATTAAATTGATCATTGCATTGCGGATGACTTATTAAAACGAATAATTATTATCCACGCGACTCATTACATATAATCAATGTAACGCATTCACGGTGGTAATATTGCAAAATAGATTATTATACCACCTCGTTCCGAGACGTAATTCAAGCAGGAGGAAATTGAGCATGTTAGATGTTAATTAGCGGCACACGTGGCGTGTATAAAACATTTATTCGTGATATTATCTGCTTAATATACGCTGTAACTTTATTCACAAATACAATGCAACTCACGCAAATCACGGAACTAATGTACTCGAAGAGTTTTAGCACATATGACGAAATTGTTTCACGATATCTCACGCATAGGTAAAATATTTAGATATAATATATAAATAATAAATCAACAATGCAGGAACGATTCTCGCTGTGAAAAAATTAAATTCATTAATAATAAAAAGAATCGTTGATAATGAATCTTCAACGTAATGTAAAATTATTATGATAAATGTCTCTGAGGAAAATTATGTGGTAAATATGTCGGCTTTGACATATTAAAGATTATTATATGTGTTTTGAAGATATCAACTTTCTCTAGAATTAGGCAATTATATATATATATTATTATTATTAATTTAATTTCCTTGTACAATATTATTAAGGCTTCGAATCTTCTTACATAATAAATTTATTTCTGATTAGTATTCCATGTGGTCTGCTAAACTTACGATTAGATTAACATGACGATTCTTTGGCAGTGATCCTCCACAGGAAGTTACCTTTCTTCGACTGGCACATCGCTGGATTCATATTTTCATTTTCGCCGTGATTAACCGACAGCAGTCCTTCAGAGAATCTAATCGACGAGAGAGAAGAGGGAGAGATAGTTGTTTCTCCCGGCATAATTATATAATTTACGTTATTTGCGTCCTGAAATACAATTGTCGTCGTCGTTACCATCGTTGCCGTCGTCGTCGTCGTTGTCGGCGGCGCGAGCCTTATCATTCTCAAAGAAGAATGGCTATATATTTACGGCAACGAGTTTCACGCAGCCCTCAGTAGAAAGATGATAGAGGGCCAGGTGCATCAACATCCGGTACGAGTGCCACCCGACAAGTCACAATCGTCCCAGACTGCCAATACCGGCATCAAGTTCGAAAAGTACGTTGAAAAAATCATTGTGCAGAAAATATCCCGTGGTCCTCACGTGTCTCATAACGAAAATTAAGAGTTTCGAATTAAAATCTCGAGCATGACACAACGATGCGCGATCCATGTTTAGCGCGTGGATGATCCAGAAATAGTTAGGTGACAGTGTTCAACGGAATCGTGAATAAAATTACACGATGGAATTAATTGTGGATTTACGTGCTTACGCATTTGACACGCACCACGATTAATCGCATGCGTTCACTCATCTAGCATCAATTCGTCGCGCATCATTTAATCCAGGCTTTGGTTTTTATTTTTTCATCACCCGGACTGTGTACACTTCATTATCATGCAATCTTAATTCTTCGACTACGAAATGATTTGGTACGATAATTATTTCATCAAATCGATCGGTAAATAAAAATTGCAACCAATATATGAATTTTAAAAATAAAATAATATTGAATTATGATAAATTTTTGACAGTTGTGATAAAAAACTCTTATCAAGAGTTTTTTAGATCTATATCAATTTTCTATTTAATTGTTATTATTTTGTGGTTCGAAATCAGAAAGACGAACGTTCTGCATAATGGCAATGTAATATTTATCATTCTATTATCGAATCATAGAATCACGTTTGTCAATTTTGTTCGAAGGTACTGATAAACCATAACGCTCCGACCTTATCGTCTTGACGACTATAACAAAGGGTTAATGAGTATTCTTGACATCGCCATTTGTTCGACATCAATGTAACGGAAATCTATTTTTCTGTCGGCAGTGAGCAATGTAAGGAGCCCCTGCTTCTGGAGAAGCAAAACTCCCACAAGATGACACCGACCGATGGCCGCTCGCGGACCACCTCCGAGTCGAAGGATACTAACAGCAATGGACAGGCGGCCACGGCAAATTCCACTATAAGCGGTGGACACAACATCGAGGACTGCTTCGAGGTGACCATGTTCGACGAGGGTGCCGATGGTGGCCGGCTGCCAGACGTCGTCGCCGAGAGTAAGATCTACGATGTGGCCGATGAGAACGAACCGCTCGAGTCGTACTTGGCGATCACCATCCAAGTCTTCATACCCTTCCTCATCGCCGGCTTGGGCATGGTGGGCGCCGGATTAGTTCTCGACCTGGTCCAAGTACGAACAAAATTCGCATACATATCGCACGCGGATTATTTTTCTCTTCTCTCCCCCTCTTTCTACCCAGAAATATTTTACGAGGCACGATGTCACACACACACAATAACATCAATATAGATTTCACGCAGCTCATGGCAATCAATCAAATGGCACGCGATTATTATTAAACGAATCATCCAGCTTTTGCAATCTCTCTTGATATCTATTGTAATCTTTTTCCTTTACTTTTGGAATAGATTAAATACTTTAAATAAAACACGAATGGAGAATATTTGAGAATGTAATTACATTACGTAGTAGAAATTAGATCTTAGCAAATTTAAATCTTTAGATACATTTATCTTATCTATTTATTAAATAGGTTCTCTCTCCTCTCTAAAAAGAAATAGACTTCAAATTAGCTTAATTTTAATTAATTTTATATTGTAATACTTTACAAATCTTTATTTCGTTTACTTACAGCACTGGGTAGTTTTCGAAAAAGTCAATGAGCTCATGATTCTGGTACCAGCACTTTTAGGGCTGAAGGGTAATTTAGAAATGACCCTGGCATCGCGTCTTTCTACTCAAGCGAATCTCGGACACATGGACTTGCCGAAGGAGCAATGGCACATGATCATTGGGAATCTCGTTTTAATACAGGTGAGAATAACCAGTAATTCGATCACAGATTTAAGAATGGAGCAATTTTTTTATGTAACCGTAAGAAATTTGATTTCTGTAATGATCGAATTCTGCAATTGCAATAGTTTCGCTATTCGTTGCGAGTCTTGGATATTAACAATTGCAATCTTAATTATTATTAATAAACACGAAATGAAATACAGATCATTAATCAGAGCATCTGTCAAATATATTTGCATTATTCTGATAATGCATATTCTAACGCTCTAGATCGAACCGTAATATAACAAGATGTATTCCATTAGTCCTTTCACATTTAGGTTCAGACTTTACTTTGGCGGAACTGGTTCTAACTAGATGTTCCATAATTAAACGCCGATATTTGCTATTCGTCATTCAAAAGAGTCGTAACTTAATTCCGTCGAATACATTGTGAAACACATATTGACTTAATTCTATGCCATATATTTTTCCCTTGAAACTTCTGCTATTTCGTTTTAATCGACGTTCTGATTCTTTGATAGATTGCACCTTCGCAGCTTCTTGTTTAACAATTATGCGACAAAGCGTGCGAAAAAGTTCTGCGCTATTAATCATCCGATTCCTTATCATCTAGCATCGTAAATATATCCGCGGATGCACGCGGTTAGGTGTTTTTTTTATTCAAGTTTAGCCTCGCGAATTTCCATTAGTAAATCAATGTTACGAAATTCTTATGACTGCTAATTAATAATAAATTAATTAAATTCGCGTATTTTAACAAATCGCTGCTATTTATCAATTACGAAATGATCGTCGTTATTGATGCATCCTGGATATCGTAAATTGTCAGAGGATATTATGATGTGAGGTGATAATTTAACCTCTGGTTAACGGTTAATTGTGAAACAAGCCGGCGACACGAGAAAGTAAGCAACGTTTTTCCTAGCCGTTCGATTTAACAAATTGAGCTATGCTCTCCGGTCGTCTTATCACATTGGCGCCACGATTTTATTTGGCCTTCGGGAAGCCGACTGTTTGCCGTACGATCTTTCGCGCGCACAACACATGGCTGGTTACTTTATAAAACATCACGCTTTAAACGATATGTGTGTTTCCATATCGTGAATCGATATCTATACAAGATAAGCTGATATACGTTTGAAATTTCTGTATGAAATTAGAAAATTCTTCTCACAGAAAATATAAAGAATCACCCCATATCAAAATTTTAAAAACTTAGCATTTTTCTTTAACATATGTATGTCTCACCACTTTTTTAATTTTTCTCGCAGCATTTTAAATATCTTATAGATTAAATATTATTAAATTTTGTTATAATTCGTCAAAAGTCTTGCATTTTTAATGCAACTTTATATGACTATCCACGCTTCTCCATTAAAACAAGCATTATAAAAAAAATTCAAAAAATAAAGAAGAGAATCTTCTTGTTTCTCACACTTAAAACTTTTATTTATATAGATGTGTTGCTTCATAAAAATAAAAATTATCTCAATTTTATAGTGCCAAGCAATAGTGGTAGGCTTCCTGGGTTCCGTGGTGGCGATCGTGATGGGTGCCTTTCGCAACGGCACGGTCTCCCTGGATCACGCCTATTTGCTATGTGCTAGCAGTCTGGTCACCGCCTCCCTCGCTTCCTTTGTTCTGGGCCTTATTACCGCGGGCGTAATCGTCTTCTCCCGTCATTGCAATATCAATCCAGACAACGTAGCCACGCCGATAGCCGCCAGTCTCGGCGACATCACATCCTTGACACTTCTCTCTTGGATCGCTACCGTGCTCTACGAATCTATAGACAAACAAGACTGGGTAGCGCCCCTCGTCATAGCCTGTTACATCCTTGTGACACCGCTCTGGGTGTGGATCGCCAAGAAGAACAAATACACCAACGACGTGCTTTACTTTGGTTGGACGCCAGTTATGGTGGCTATGTTAATCAGCAGGTAAAAAGAGAGAAATCACACACATTGCTCAATCTTGAGTTTGCTGATGGATAATGTGTTGCCTATCAAAAGACTACTGCTATCTGTATATTATATCATATTTCAAATAAAGTTTAAAGTCTGTAACATGTGAATTTTTTTACACAGTTGCGGCGGTCTCATACTAGAATTCATGGTGTCGCGTTTCGAAAATCTGACGGTGTTTCAACCGGTCATCAACGGTGTCGGCGGGAATCTAGTGGCCGTCCAAGCCAGCAGAATATCAACGGCGCTTCACAAGCAAGCCGAACTTGGCACGCTTCTGATACCACCGGGACACACGCATCCCGTCATCTTTATCACTCCTATTGCTAATTTCTTCGGGAAAGGTAGCTCTTTGTTCCTCGATAAATAATCAGAATTTTTCCTCAGGATATTCCTTCATTGTTACTTTTTTCCTTCAGGTACGCACGCCAGGACGACGAGAGTCTTGATGACGATGGTGATACCGGGCCACATCATCTTCATTTACCTGATTAATTACATGAAAGACGGCAATACGTCGATGACGCCGCTCTTCGTCTTCGTTTACCTCTGCGCGGCGATGCTGCAGGTCGCGGCGCTCCTCTATATCGCCTACATAATGATCCACTGGATGTGGAAACGAAAGATCGATCCCGATAACTCAGCGATACCGTATCTGACTTCGATGGGTGACTTGCTCGGGATCAGTCTGCTTGCGATTGCCTTTCAATTTCTGTACCTGGTCGGAGATCAAGATTTCGACGCGCCCTGATCGTAGTAAGACTAATTTTTGTATGGCTATAGCGCAATTAACGACGATCATGGTAATTGGCACATTAATTACCACTTGCACGCATAAATAGAGAATCTATCAACTAATTAAAATTGTTTTTCTAAGAATTCATAAATATTAATCGCATTGTGTAATGATGTTATTATGTGTATATCAAATATTGCGATCAAGAAAATTTTCACGATACATATAAAATTTTTCTAATTTATTACAAATTTTTACATATAGGCTGCGTTCTAAAATTCATTGCCAATAATAAAAATCTATAGTTCACGTTACGTATATTATAGATTTCAAATACTGGCAGTGAATTTCAGAACGCAGTTATAATGTTTGAGAAACACTAATTATTCAAGCGCGTGCCGGTTCATATTAGTAAAACAATTTATGGATACTCGAACGGAACATTTTGCATTTTTTTTGCAGGAAGTCATAAATTATATAATGTTTTCCGGCGAACGACGGCCACAAGTTAGAGAGCTGTCGGACTGAAAGGGCATTCCTACGAGGCTGTGGTCGTCTGAAAGTATATTCCACCGAACGCTATCTTCGATCTGCCAATCCACCGAGTCTCACAAGGACGGATGGTCGCAGTATTTATTTGGCAAAGTATTAACAATTCGTCACTTTTTTATCTCGTCTTTTTGTCAAGAAATTGAGATTAATCATCAAATATATTAAGACTCCCTCTTCATATTTTGCGAAAACTTATATGTAGAGTTATTTTCGGCAAAATCTTGCCCGATATCTCAGTATTTGATAATTAATAAATTTCTAATGCATGCAAAATAAAAGTAATGGATCGTTAATGCTTTGTCAAGCCGAGCGGACATACTCAGGTTTTAATTAGGTACTAATATATCAGAAGATAACAAAGGTTGGTATACCGGATTATAGCTACTAATATATTAAAAGATAACGAAAGATCGGTAGCATGCGGCAAATTAATTTGTCGAATATAAAAATTACGATTGAATGTTTGCAAATAATGTTATCTTCAAAGTTTAAGCCTAAAATTTGAAAATTAATTTCTTCAAAAACGGACGATAGATAAAGATAATAAATAGCATTAAATTAATTATTTATTAAATAACAACAATAATCTGACGAACAAAATTTTCGACAATATATGTTTGGCGAAATATCTCCTGAGCGTAACTCAAAGCCTAAAACTTCGTTAATCATAGCTTACATATATTTTAAAATTCAAGAACAAAATTCTCGTAAACTACAAAGAAAAAAAATTGAAGCGAAGATTTTCGTATTTTCTGAAAATGGAACGGAATAGAGTCTACAAAGATATACATATATATATATTAAATTGCAATCGCGAAGATTACGCTAAACATTTAATATATAAGTCCGTAGACTCTCATTCATTTTTTTAAACTCAGCGAGAATTCTGATTCTTCCATCAAACACACGTAAATAAAAAAGTACGCGTAATCATATTACCAATTGCGCACGTGTCTTCGAATAGTTGCCTTCGTATACGACGAAATTTAGATAAGTATTTAGAAGCTGCCACGCGATCTATTTTTGGAAGCTTTAGAAGCGTTCTCGGATTTGCTCGATCTAAAGTACAGGTATACTCGTTGCATAAACTATCTTAACTTTTGCGATGCAGTTAATTAGAATTTAGTCTTCCTTGTGCAGATAAGCAGTCCCCATTTTTTCTAATTTTCGGAATTATTCGTTAAAAATAATCAAAGTCTTGTGTTTTTACAAGAATAATTGTCTGAAAAAAATAAAATACATTATAGAGTGAAAAATTGAACCGATCATCATAAGTTCGAGAGCCAGCAAAATCACATAGAATCTCGTGTGACAGTGATCGATGATGGTTTTTCGTGCTAGTATTATCACTTGGTCAAAAATATATTTTCAAAATATTTTGAACAGATTAAATTTTGCACATATTAATGTACCGTAACTTATACGAAAAAAAAGGAACTATACAAGTTTGCGATACTTGAAAGAACGCGATAATTGAAGCTTAATATTTGAAATTGATGTAAAAACGAATGCGCAGTTGTTAAGAAAATATAATCCACAAATTATATTCGATTAATCGTATCAAAATATCATTGTAAATTTTACGAAAAGGATGCGAAGATGGTGGTGTTTATGTGAATGTTGGTGAAATTGTGCACGATAGAGTAGCATCTCTTTAAGGAGAGAACGACGAGTAGCATTTAGTAACATAAGAAATGTGCATTTAGTTAATGCTTAGTTGACAATTATCTCTGACATCGTGCGAATAATTTAATTCACATATTAATTACGACACGTAGTACAACACGTCTTTTTGTGTTCAAAGATAAAGAGGTTTTAACGCATTCACAGCGACCCTTCGGTCGAGATTAAATTCATTCAGTCTGTCAATTTATGTAAGTATTATACTGTATAGTATTATGTAAATTACAATATTCCACAAAGGAAGAGCTAACAGAGAAAGCGTCGTTATATCCCCGTGTACATATTACTGTGTATAATGTGCATATTTTATATGTACATTACGTATATTAGAGGCGTCGTGTCGGAGACTAATATTTAGTCTATGTGATAGGAAAAGGGATTTATATCCAAGATGATATCGCCTTTCGATACATACATTCAGTATTATCGCTTTACTATTGCCTGAAATTGCTATAAATGCGATTCTAGCAAAGATATCCGGTTCCGCCGAAAGAACATCACGCTTCTTTTGACACATGTGTTTTGTAGCAAACTGCGTTCGAGTCGATCCGATTATGATAGCACGATACACTCTTGTACGAGAAAAAAAAAGATATTACAACATTAACGTTACACGATTAGCATTAATTCATTCATTGTCGAATTATTTCATTCATCTCGACTCGCGGTAGTTGCTTCACGAGTTTTATCAACGCGACAAAGAAGATATTGCGAGATTATGTAAAATGCAAAAATGCGCTCGCATATTAGCGAACAAAAATTCTCTTAAGCCGTATGCATATATTTTGTTATACAAACGATTACTTTAAATGATGTTTATTGATCGTCTATTGCTCGTGGCGTCGTAGCAAATGTCATTCGTTTCATTTTATAAGATCGATATATCCTTTTTCTTTTTTTATGTACGTTTGTTTTATTTCTAACGAGCACAATAATTGTATTATGGGAGGGAACGTGCTATATATAAATACGCAGACAATAATACGCAATCTCTGAGAACGGATACATAAAGTATTTTGTATGTAAAGTTGAACGAGTATACATGATCCCTTGTACAAAGCTGACTTTTACAAATAAAAATGGAAACGACATATATTTTAAATCATTTTTTATTCTACTTGTGAAGGAAAATGATATCGTAAGCAAAAACGATGCTGCCACTCGATCGCCGGATTGCAAACTCTTGTCTCGATGTAATGTATTCCAAAAAACATAGTCGTCTTTAAGCATTGTCTGTAGTTTAAAGTATATATAGCGTTTGTTTTCCGTAAACTAGAATGACAGACAATAATAGCAAAGGAAAAGAGAAATATTTTATATACAATAACGTGTTAAACTGTATCTTATGAACAATAGAACTGGATATTTTAACGGAGAAATCGAGCAGTGTACTTCGGAAATATGTTCCTGTGTCTACATTATGTTGAAATACATTAAAAGAAAACAAGATAGGCACTTTGCATCGTTACAATCAATTCCGCAAATATACTAATAGCGATATCTATAGTTAATTGCGGCATGAATCGCACGAGTTTTATGACGACGAGCGTGATATAGCGCAATGATATCCCGATATCTAACTGGAATTATGCTCTTAATTGTTAAACACAAAATCATCAAACAGCATAATATAGTCGAGAAATATTTTGATGTAGATCTCATCGAAATGTAATTTTTGTAAAATATGTACAAAGAAAAAAATAAGATGTACAAAAAGAATGTTCTGGCTTTCTTTTAAATTACAACGATTGTTTATTTATTTAATACATATGGCAAAATATTAAATATCGAAAGAAATAGAATAATTGTGAGTCACGTAAGATTTGATTGTATTATCTTGCTTTTATTTGATTCTTTGTTCCTTCCAAGAGAGAGACCTTCTAATTAATACATATATATAAATTATATATATCAATTTAATACAAACTCTTGGACGAGTTTTTTATAAATAAATATACATATATATATATACAAAATATACAACTTAAGTTAATTTTTCACTTTTCATAATTAATACACACACTTATCATTTCTCTTTAACATTCATTGCAACATTGTCATCTTTCAATTTGTCTCCAAATTGGTTTGCCATATTTTATTCCTACATTATAAATATTCATATTTATATATATTAATAACAGTCATAACTGTGTATCATAATTGTTAGATTAATATCACGAAAATACGTATGCATCATCATGATGCACAATGATACATCTCCACAAAGCCCTGAGATATTTTTTTATTATGATATTTATCATGATTGTAGCAATTATTTATATAAGCACGTTTTCATGATGTATAGATAGTAATCGCATTTAAGTGATTCATAAACTCAATTACAACATAAAAAAATTAATATATTTTTTTGCTACTTGAATCAAGCATGCAATATCACTCTAATATAAGCTGTTCTGTTGATTTATTATAGATCCTTGAAATACGCCTACATTACAAGGTTAGGTCAATAAATAAACAGATGTAACGTATCTCGTTTTTAATGCTATAAAATATAAATAAGCAATAATATAACGAAGTATAAAAATATTAATCGAAATATCGTGATGTATATATCGAAATCTCTTACATCAATCCTCTATTGACTCTTTGCATACAAATGTCACGAGAATTGATGTTGCAGGTGTGTGATCTTATCAATTACACGATCTCGAATTTAGTGTCAAAAGAAATATTACATATTTATACATAAGAAAGTATGATACACACACATACGGCAGTAAAGTATGCGTAATAATACAAGCTGGCGCGCTGTAACCGTACAGCAATCACGATATTTGTTCATAATAAACTGCGAGCGCAGCCTTGTTTACTGTAATTTTGCTGCTTCCTTCACTTTCCAGCGAATTAACTCCATGCAAGCGACGGCATCTTCTTTACTGTCATGACCACCAACTAAAATAGAAATTATTATTAGATATTATTTTATTATATATACATTCTCTCTCTTTAAACGACTCTCTCTTCTTTTAGATATGAAAGATTGAACTCACTGTCATTTTGTATGATTTTTCTGAGATATTCAGAACAAAGATTTTTCAATGCCCGTTTTTGCGGATATCCATTCTTATGTGGAAACATAATGCTGGTATCCACAACGGTATCGTGAAGCAGTTTCAAAGCTTTAAAATCGCTTTCAAGGCTATGACCCACCAGGATTGTTTTGTCCGAAAACATTGTGAGAAGTGTAGCTTGTACATCTAAAATAGTCGTCGTCACGTCCTTCATATCTTCTTCTGTAATCCCTGAGAACCTACCATAACATAGAAAATTAGTTATAACACATACATAAATACTGATATTTTAAACAACATATATAAATATATACCTAATCAATTTTAATCTTATTATCACTTACCTTGTGTTATAATCAATTATCGGATTTTGTGGTTTGACCAACGTTTCATACATTACGTTACAATCTTCATCAATCACTGTCACTCTAGTCAATTCTAAACCATGTGTAGTATAACACATTTCACAATCGAGTGCATAGACACCTTGTTCGTCCATAGAAACATCTTTATTTTGTATGCATACAATGCAAAAATTAATATATAATACACTGATGTACTTAAATATATAGGAAAAATATAAGAAACTAAAAATATCTTACCTTTTGATAAAGTTCTAACATAACCGCGAAGATTTTCATAATCCGTGTAATCCCACACATGTGTCTTTGCATCACAGCAACCAGTAGCTGATCCATATTGCTGGCAACAACTGTACTTGCCCTCGCCTTTAATTGTAAATTTTCTTCCCCAGTGATATATACAGTTTTGTTGCTGTACAGCAAAGCTCTGTTTATCTACCATATACGCTTGGCCACATCGGCTGCATATTCTTTCATTAGGCACTTTTGATAAAACACTTTGGTTCCGCGCATTTATTACATATACCTTTGCTCGTCCCTGCAAGATGTAAGACGTATCTTATTGTAGATAAGACGCCATTTTAATCAAAGAGGTTGTAATTGTACATCGCGATTTTATTTATTATTCTTTATCTTATCATTTTATTGTAGTAATCCCAATAAATTGGGCTAATTCTTTTACTTATACTTTATTATCTCTAAGATTTTTCTTTACCTTTGTATCATCCGGATGTCTTCGTGGAAACCCATTATCTCTGAGCTGCTCCTCAGACATGACCCATTTCTTGAGCATATTATAAAGTGCAGGTCCTTTAAAATCTACCACACTCTTTTTACTCTTGACTATGCTCCAAGAGCCTCTCGATTTGCCAGCAAGCATGGCTTCATGAGATACCATACCATAGTTCAATCCAACGGACTTTTCATTCGATTTATTTTGATCGACTTCTTTTTTCAGCCTATGAACCGCCAGCATACATGAACTTTTGTATACAGCAAGCGCCTTACATTTTTCGTGACACGTGAGTTCCTCTTTAACGGCACGTTGCGCTGCATCGTCGCTATTCGTATAAATTTGCACGCATATATCGTGCATTATATTAATATAATACTGACGAACATTTAAGGGAAACTTCTGCGTAGCGACTTGGAGCGGTTCTGGACGTACCAGTTGAGGTACCTGCATACAAATAGAATTTTAATGAATGCACAGTGTAAAGAGACAGGATATATACAATTAAGTTATACTGGAACTTAACAGTTTTTAATTAAAACTTACTATTTGCGGAATGTGAGCGACGCGTGCACTGCCTTTCGTAGTTTGCGCTATTGTTTTGTTATTTACTTCTTTGTGGTCCCCGCACTTTCCTGCTGTTACTGTGACCTTTTTCTTTTCCATTGCAAGAGATTGTGCATATGGAACATGAGCAATTCTAACACGACCTACAATACACATTAAAAGACGTTAATAAAAAAAATATTCGTCCAAAAATAAAACATAATTTAATTGCTACATTATTCAACTTACTATTCACATTCGATTGCAGATCGTTATTGTTTGTTGACGAGGCGGACTCGATATGTTCTTTTTGTAAATTACTCGAGGACTGAACTGCTGACATAGATGTAACTTGAGTCTTCATTTCAGCTATCGCCTTTTCTGCGGCCTTTCCGATCGCTATTTTCTTCATCAAACGCCATCGCTCGTACATTTTCTGTTGTGGTGTTATAAGCTTTTTTGGTGGCTGACTAGGACCTAACTGTCTAGTGACGCTTGTAGCCGCTGAAGGATGCGCAACTCTTTTCTTACCAACTTCTTCCAAGTCTTCGGTTTCTTCTTTCAAAGATTTTTTGACTGATACTAATTTTGGATGATCAGAAGCTTGATATTCCTTAAAAATGAATAAATATAAACAACATAAAGTAACAGTTCATCCAATACACAAAGAAAAAATAAAATTATTTTTTTTTTATTAATACATAAATTTTTATTTTTTATCAAATAAATCAAATTTTAAGTATTTGTAACATATATATATTTTAATTAATTATAAAATGCAAATCTAAAATACCGGAAAAAATAAAAAAAGGAATGTGTTGAATAGAGAGAGAAAGAAATTGCATGTGTTAAATAGATTCTATATAAAAGAGAGATCATTTCTAAAAAATATCATAAATATATAAATATGTAAATATTTTTACATAAAAATTTACCTGAAATATTCTTAGGCATTCTTCTTGTACATCATGATCAGAATCTGATAATTCCAAAATCTCTTCGTCCATAAAAGAATGAATACTGTCTGCAGGACTATCAGAACTACCGAATGAATTCCTTTCACTACTATTTTCTTTATATTTGCTAGATTTTCTGGAAGAATCATTTGATCTCCGACTTGATTCCAATTGATGCTTCCTGTCGCTTCTGCTAGATGTACGTTTATTCGATATAGAACTGGATGAATTTGATTTTGATTTATGTTTATCATGCCGACTAGATTTATGATGATTGTTTCGATCTGTCTTTGGAGAAGAATGCCTATATTTCCGCGAATCCGAATGATCTCTACTTTGACGCGAAGGGTCTTTATCATCACGATTGCTTTTTTTCCTATCTTTATCTTTACTAGAAGAAGGACGATGCCTATCTCTGGAATCTGATTCATGCCGAGATCTTTCTTTGTCTCTCCTCTCAGAATTATGATGATCTTTTCTATCCCTTTTTTTGCTTTTACTATGGCTCTTATGTTTTTCTTTCTCCTTGTCAGTACTCTGTTTTGTACTTTCTTCTCGTCTCTGTGATAATTTACTTGTGTCACTTGCTTTATGTTTAGATCTATTACTTTTTGTATCACCCGTTTTAGCATCATAGTGATTATTATGCATTTTTTTATCTTTATTGCTTGTTTGTTTATCTACAGTATCAGTTCTTGCATGTTGCAAGTTTTCCTTCTCCTTTTCATTCACATCCTCTATTTGCTCAGCCTTTTTAATGTTCGCATTATGTTCATTGTTAGATATGTCTTCTATAGATTCATCATCAGAAAATTTAGGTTCAATATCCAAAGAGTAATCTTGAGAATCCTCGCTAGCCGATATTTTAGCTTGTTCTAATGCGTTAGAAGTAGTGTGATCGGCAGTAAGAATTTCATCTATCATATCAAATTCTGGCTCAAACTGATCCAAAGTAGCGTGGTTTAATTGCTGAACTGTTTTTAATGGCGCCTTGACATTTTTAGGAACATACTCCTCCCGTCTTTTTTTAGATTTCGGATAGTATACTTCCTTAAATTTAGACTGATAATCGTTCGAGTTACTGTCGTCATACGAATTTGATGATGATGAATCTGATTTGACTGTCGGTATGTAACTCTGTACAATATCTTGTTCAGTTGAATTGACTATTGCAGTAGGTTTATATGTAACTTCAGATGATTGAGAGCTGCTGGATTCCTGTACGATGTTTAACCATGGTTTAACCCTTTCCGGCGAGAATTTACGTTTCACAGCCACTCTACTCTCCCTGGTTGGCATATACGAAACTACAGGTATGTGCCGTTTCTTCAATTCCGCTATCGGTGTTGGATTGTAAACACATGCAATTGGTTTTGTAATGGGCGTGGGAATTGTAATATGCTTTCCTACTATATCTGATGCATTGCGCATAGGGGCAGCAGAACCAGAGCCTAAGGTTGGCTTGAGTCCTTCCACTACTTGAGAGACAATGTTTTGCGAAACTTTCTCCGTATCCGTAACTTCCTGATCTGCAAGTACTTTTTTTACAGCCTCTGTCACTAAATGTTGTAGCATATCAGGATTTGAGGCCACAACATTGACAGATTTATCCTCCTGCGCTTGCCCCGGTGCCTGGGTCTCCACCATCCCAACCAT